ATATATATTATTATTATATACCATAATGTGTATTTCAAATCTCTTATAGGTGAAAAAAGAGATACAAATAAATTAAAACAATAGTATACCTTGCATATAGCTTATAAAAAGAGTGAATAATGTTCCTTTTAATTTTCTATATATCCATCTCCTTTATCTATTCAGTTCTTATGTTATTGGAATAAATAAATACAAATGAATATTATCCAAAAAAGAAATGGATATATCTTTATTACTTGCTAGTAGACTTTGCTCTACTTAAAAACAAGTAATAAAAAAAAAAGTAAAAAATAATACTCAAGTTTTGCTTTAGAAGAACATAAATTTATTTTTCATTCAAAATTAGTGTAATTTAAAAAAAAAAATTTTGTAACTCTTAGTGATAATGTTATTTTTTTTTAAAAGTTAACAAAAGATACTGGATCTTTATTACGTTCTTTAGGAAGGTTAAAGACCTTCATTTTATTTTTTAATTGATTTTACTCAAAACATTTTATTAGAAATTTGAATTCTTGAAAATAGAGTGCTTTTCTAGAGTTCTTATAATAAATCTTAGTTAATACTTAAAAAATATAAATACTTGTATTAAAAGAACATATAGCTCACCATTCATATAGATTTCTTGTTATTTTTGTACGAATGAAACATTTAAACAGAATAGAATATTTGTACTAAACAAAACTAAATATAGAGATTCAAATTAGGGTAATTCATAGATGAATCTAATTAGACTATAGATTTAATTAGAAAGAATAAGAAAGTTGTATATAGATGTCTAATTCCTAACAAGTAAAAAAGAAATTAGTTTATCTATTCTTTTTTTTTTGGCAACCATTTCAAATAATCTCATGGGAACACAAAATCAAACTATATGCTTTAAATAAAGATCTTGTTTGAAAGCTTTTATCATTTCACAATCGCTTTTAAGAAAAATTATTTGAAAAAAAAAAATCTAAAATGATATTAAATTTTGAAGATAAATACTAGAAATTAGAATTTTAGAAATTTTTTTTTTAAATTTAATTTTTATGCCATTTTGATTTACCTGTCGTGATTCAAATCCGATATGATTTATATTTAGAAATATTAATTAAAATAAAAATGAACTACTCTACAGTGTTATTGATTGGATTAGTAGTATCTATCAATGGAGCTATTACTTATAAGATTGGTACTGAATTATGTTCCTGTAATAAATTTTCAACAAATATTGAATGTGCTTATGTCTCAAATAGGTGTGAATGGGTATCAAATGCTTGTTAAGATATTGATTGTACAACTAAAACTACAATTGGAGATTGTAATAAAAATGGATGTGCTCTCACAACAGCAAGCAAATGTGAAAAGAAGGCAGCTTGTGCTTCTTATAAATACGATTCTATACTTAGTTGTTTGAGCATTGGTTGTGACGCAGATGTAAAAGGAACAGATAATTTATATCCTTGCAAAGATCTGGTGCTTCCTATTTTAAATCTTACAAAAGATTGTGCAACTTACATAATTGATACAGAATGTGTACTTTCTGGTTGCTATTGGAATGATAAATGTGTCCCAGCTACTTGTGCAGATTAAGTTTAACTCACATGTCTACAAATTAGAGGAGAAGTTTATACAGATAGAACTCTATGTACTTGGGATGCTACTAAATCTGCATGTGCAGATGCTACAACTGGATTGACTTAGTCCTAATGTATATCATACACTGGTGGAACTTACTCTTGGAACTCTGAAAGTTCCTTATGCGAAGAATGTTCATCAAGCTATGGAAATTTGGTAATTGCATCAATGGTATTGATAAACCTGTTTTTATGAGATATATATGCACAAAATAAATCATATTTTATTAATTTAAATTTGAATATTATTAATTTAAATAATAATAAATTATTATAATATTTTTAATTTTTATATGTAATTTTTCATTCTATTTTTAATATTTATTAATTTCCTAATGTATTTGAGAATGATATAACTTCTTAAATTTAATCTAAATATTGATTTGTTATATATTCTAAAATTCTTTCACTGGCACCTGATAAAATATGACAATTTTATTTAGCCCCAATTGATATTCCAGACCCATTTATATCCATAAAGAAAATCTTTACTTTTGGATTTACTTCATTTATATATCCATTCAAAAGATATTCAAAGCTAATGTTATCTNATCTAAAATGATATTAAATTTTGAAGATAAATACTAGAAATTAGAATTTTAGAAATTTTTTTTTTAAATTTAATTTTTATGCCATTTTGATTTACCTGTCGTGATTCAAATCCGATATGATTTATATTTAGAAATATTAATTAAAATAAAAATGAACTACTCTACAGTGTTATTGATTGGATTAGTAGTATCTATCAATGGAGCTATTACTTATAAGATTGGTACTGAATTATGTTCCTGTAATAAATTTTCAACAAATATTGAATGTGCTTATGTCTCAAATAGGTGTGAATGGGTATCAAATGCTTGTTAAGATATTGATTGTACAACTAAAACTACAATTGGAGATTGTAATAAAAATGGATGTGCTCTCACAACAGCAAGCAAATGTGAAAAGAAGGCAGCTTGTGCTTCTTATAAATACGATTCTATACTTAGTTGTTTGAGCATTGGTTGTGACGCAGATGTAAAAGGAACAGATAATTTATATCCTTGCAAAGATCTGGTGCTTCCTATTTTAAATCTTACAAAAGATTGTGCAACTTACATAATTGATACAGAATGTGTACTTTCTGGTTGCTATTGGAATGATAAATGTGTCCCAGCTACTTGTGCAGATTAAGTTTAACTCACATGTCTACAAATTAGAGGAGAAGTTTATACAGATAGAACTCTATGTACTTGGGATGCTACTAAATCTGCATGTGCAGATGCTACAACTGGATTGACTTAGTCCTAATGTATATCATACACTGGTGGAACTTACTCTTGGAACTCTGAAAGTTCCTTATGCGAAGAATGTTCATCAAGCTATGGAAATTTGGTAATTGCATCAATGGTATTGATAAACCTGTTTTTATGAGATATATATGCACAAAATAAATCATATTTTATTAATTTAAATTTGAATATTATTAATTTAAATAATAATAAATTATTATAATATTTTTAATTTTTATATGTAATTTTTCATTCTATTTTTAATATTTATTAATTTCCTAATGTATTTGAGAATGATATAACTTCTTAAATTTAATCTAAATATTGATTTGTTATATATTCTAAAATTCTTTCACTGGCACCTGATAAAATATGACAATTTTATTTAGCCCCAATTGATATTCCAGACCCATTTATATCCATAAAGAAAATCTTTACTTTTGGATTTACTTCATTTATATATCCATTCAAAAGATATTCAAAGCTAATGTTATCCTAAATCTCAAATCTTAAACTAATTAGAGGCTCAAATTTTAATCATTTCTTTATTTTACTCCTTTTTAATTTTTAGATCTATAAATGAAATCAGTATTTTTCATATTATGCAAAAAATTAGCTGCTTTGCATACCCTCTAATTAATTAATAAGAAAGAAAGGTTTTTAATCCAATAACATCCATAAGGCAAATAAGGCCTTATAGCTCTGTTAGTATTTCCAAAAATTGTTTCATCAATAAAAACTAAATTAACTTTATTGAGATACAAAATTAAAAACTTTAGCAAGTATTCATATTTTTTTTTCAAATTAATTTTCTGTTTTGCTACTATAATCCTTTTTATTAAGAATTTTGTAAATCACTTTACAATATTTTTACAAATAATATTGGAATCGAATAGTAAAGAGTCAAATTTGTGATTTGAAATAATTAAATAAACTTTTGATAAAGTATTGCAGATTTTTACAATTCCTGAGGATTATGAGAAGATAAATAATATGTAATCCAACTTATATGTTTTTTACATAAATTGAAATAATTTACCTTTTTATTAAATTTCAGGTTAATCTTCCATTAAGAACTAATCTTAAGATTGATTCAACCCTATAATACCAGAAATTGCCCTATTAGAGTAGCACTATTTGCTCAAAATTTAAACATATCTTCTTAAATTTCACTTAATCAATAAGAGCATATTTTTTTCAAAATAAATGACTTTATCAACATTATCTTGAGAACTATTTAATCTTAGCATTTGTTTATTTCGATTAATGTTGTAAATTTCTTACTTACATTCTCTAAAGGATTTTAGTGGGTAGTCTATGATATAGAATATTTATCATGCTTTAAGTATAATTTTAGACCTAGTACTTTTTTTATTTGATTTCAATGGTCTATTATGAATGTTGATTAAATAAATTGCTCATTCAATAATTAAATTATTATATAATTCTATTATTGATACGCATTAACTAACCATGATAATAGTCATTTGAATTATAAACTTAAATTTTTAAACTAGAATCAACTTTGTAATAGGTGTGCTTGCTTATATTTTCAAAATTTTGGCTTAGATTAATTTTATTTTATTCATTTCAAGGTACAAAAAGAACCTTTCCTTAAAAATAATATGAATTGAGTTACTTACAAGAACCCAAATTTTTATTTAAAAAAGAAAGAGCCTCTTACTTTTACTATTTGATTATTTTTAGATATATGTCTCATTCTTAGAAGCGAATAAGGCTTTTGGATCAATTGATCCTTTCCACATAACCTTAGTATTGAAAAATTATTATTTACCTTATGTATAAAGTGCTACCATTACTTCTGAATATTTACTGAACGTTGCATTAGGCATATGATATAGAATATAAATTAGTGAAATGAAATTAGGCTAGGTGTCTGAAAGAAATGTAAATTAGACAAATGTCAAATAGAAGATTAATGATATGAAGGAGAAGATATCAAAGCGAAAAAATTAAGTAATTATTGAGAATTATATTTAGATTGCTACTAACTTTTCCCAAAGAGTCTATCTTACACCCTGATTTATTTAAAAATCATTTTATAAAAGCAGAATTGATACTAAAATTGCTTCATAAGAATCCATAAAGAAGACCAACAGCTCAATAAGTTTTAGATTCTCTAAATAAATAATGAAAACATAACAATATCACAAATCTTTCAATAATTTATCAACATATTCCCAATCTTACAATTTATTACCGTTTACATATTCTCCAGTTAAAATAGTTAAACTGTCAAAATATTGTTGAAACACTTCAATCCATTTACCATTTTTCATTCCATTAACCAAATAAGATCCTCCACCACTTAAGTCATATAATTTCTAAATACATCTCTTCTTAATGCACAATAGACCATGAACCTACTCTAGTATTATTTTTGTACTACCCTATATACTTTAATATTCTATAAATAATAGAGATTAGACAAATACATAAGATTGCAATATCCAATATGTGGGACTATTTCTATCCATTCATCAATTTTTATTCCTCTTGAAGAGTATTTACCCCCACCACTTAATTTAATAATGTATATTTACTTAATTGTACTAGATCCATGTTGAGTAATCTACCATTCACCTGTTCTTATTCCATCATTATAATTACCAAAATATTTAAGCATTCTTTTTAATAATAAATATTACATTGAACAACCTCCACCTACTCTTACATCTACATCAATCCATTAACCAATTTTAGTTCCAAAATCGCTATATTGTCCTCCACCACTATATTAATAAAAATATGTTTACATAAATTCTCCGCCTACCTTTGTTATTGCCCATTTTCCTTATCTTAGTCCATTAGTATATAATCCATTATATTAAAGAATAACTTCTTAGTTATAACCAATGTGACAAAAAACTTCTTACCATTAACCTTCTTTTATTCCACTCAATGAATAATTGCCTCCTCCACTTTGATAATAATAATGATAAATACATTATTTCTTTATTAACTTTTTCTATATTCCATCTACCAACTCTAACTCCATGATTATATTCTCCTGTATGTAGTAAGGTAATTGTATCTTCAATACCATCATGTGCTTATATTTCTATCCATTCACCATCTTTGCTTCCTGATTTTGTATAAAAACCAGAAGAACTTAATTAAAGGAATAATCCTTACGCAATTTCTCTTTGTTCATTTTAAACTACCCAATTGCCTGTTCTGATTCCACTTCTATATTCACCTATGTGAAATAAGGTTCTACAATAAATAATAAATTTACAAATATTTTCCAACTCCAACATGCACTTCTACTTCCTTCCAACCACCTTCTTTAAATCCATATTTATTATAACATCCTCCACCTAATTAATTTCCTTTATATAATTTAGTAATCCATAATCCTGATCTTTTGCCACTACTATATTCACCTTCTGAAATTATAATTCTTTTTCATATTTTATATGCTTACACAAAACATCTCCACCCAACTTGCATTTCTACTTCAACCCAATCAGATTCCTTCTCTCCATTTCTAGAATATAATCCTCCCCCACTTATTATATAATATTTATTTTATTTTTACATTACTCCTTCTTACTCTTCTGATATCACCCATTTACCAATCCTTTTATTAAGATTATAATCCCCAGTATATATTAAAGTTCTAAAATTTAAATTTCTAAATTCTACTTAGTACTATAATAACCACAATAGATTTCAACATCTGTCCATTTTCCATCCTTCTAATCTTAAATGTAATTCCCTCCACCTAGAATAGTATCACATCCCTCTTTGTAAATGTTCCAAACTCCAACTTTTTGACCTTTCTTATATTCTCCCTTATGTAATAAAATCCTAAAATTATTAATCCATTAAATAACTATGAACTACGCCATCCAACACACACTTCTATTTCAATCCAAACTCCTTTCTTGTATCCTTTACATAATCCTCCACCAATTTAATTTCTACATATATCAAGTATTTTCCAATTCCCTTATCTTAATCCTGCCTTATATTCTCCAACATGTAACAAAATTCTAAATCAATATATTTAAATACATAGAAGATCCTACCCCAACATGAACTTCAACTTCTGTCCATAAACCTTCTTTTAAACCAATTTATGAATAATTTCCTCCACCACTTACTTTTAATTATTATAATTACATCTATCCAGAATTTAATTCTGATATCAACCACAGTCCTACTTTGATGCCATTAACATATTCACCCTAATTTAAAATTCCTATCGAACACCAGAACCCAGCATAGCCTTCAACATCTATCCAAAGACCATGTTTTAAACCCTGCAAATACGCTCCGCCTCCTCTGATATTTAGTATCATACTTACACTTATCCTCTATTTCCAAAGATAGTAACCCATTCACCATGTCTTACTCCATTTACATACTCTCCTTTATGAATAACAACACTAATTAATTTTCAATAATACATCTTTCCCCACTTGCCTATAAATACTTCAGGTTCTATCCATTATCCAACCTTTTATCCTTGTTCAAATTAACCTCCTCCTATGACTGATTAATCCTGATTATAATAAAACCATTTATTCACTCTTAGACCTTAATTATATTATCCTCGAAATGTTCTTATATTATAATAATAATCTTACATACTAAAATCTCGGTTATGATTATAGTACAAAACTTCTGACCACATGCCAGATCTAAGTCCATTATCATATTAGCCTATCTTATTTAAGCGTCCATTGGTTAATAAATAGCATATTCCAATATTATTTTAATTGTATTCTTTTACAGCCAATGTATACTCTCCTTCTTGAAATTCTTTTAATTTAATTCCTAAGGCTATTTCATCTAATGGAAATATGGTAAATTTAGATGCTTGTTCTAAAACTGATTTTGAATACTAAAGTAATTGATTGATTTAGCTTTATTTATGATCTGCCATTTATTATAATTTTTCAGGCATCATAAATTATATTACTCGATCTAAATGTTCATTTGACAATGAAGTAGTAAATGATAAAGTCTAAAATCCATCAATTAAATAATCAAACAACTCTAACTCTTTGAATATTTAATCCTAGATAACATCTGAAGCTCGTTGTACAGAGTTGATTACATCTTTTATTTTCTTTACCAATAACTTGGATGCCTCATCTAATTAAATAATAGCATCTGAAAATTTCATCTCGACAATCTCTCTTATTTTCTTTTTTGCTGATACAACAGTGTCTTCAAATTCGCTAACACTGATGCAACATTCAGTGTGAGATTTATGATGTGAACTTAAACACTTTTGGCACCCCCACTTTTATTAACATCTAGGATGCAGACAAAATAGAGTGATTTCTCTATCGAAATGGTTTTTCTCTTTGCATTTTGGAGCATTCATCTTATTATTTTAATTTCTGAATTAAATATTCTTTTAAAAATAAATTACAATAATATTCTTATAAAAAACTATTTCTAAATGTTTGAAAGAATAAAAAATGATTTGCATCTGATTTTTAGAAATGAATGAGCATTTTTATAAAATAGTTTTTATAAATTGAATTAAAATATAATAGATAATTTATATTATATTATTTTTTATATGTTGATAAGCCAACATTTTATATTCCTAAATTTAAGAGTCTATCATAAAAAGTAAAAAAGAAGTTTAAGGTTAGAATTATTACTTCACTAAAAAAATTCAGCAATAAGCTTATAAATATATTAAGAATTAAGAATAATAAAAAATCTAACTTCTAATGAAAAAATGTCATTCAATAAATAATATTATGAGTAAAGTTCGCTTATTATCAACAATTTAAATAATTTCCATTAATACACAACATATAATATAATTAGCAATTAAACAAATTATTATTAGAAAATTTGCAACTGACAAAAGTTAGACTGTTAAAATTCCATTTGAAGTTCTCCAAAAATTCAATGATAAAATATTATTATTTATTTAATAACTCAATATGGAAATCAAAAGATATTCAAACTTAAAATTCGAATTTTATGATTTATGATACATAATCTAAAAAAATGACATTTACTTATCTAAATCATTTAGGAATGGATTATAAATTTAATTAATAAAACTTACTTAAAAACCACTAAAATATATATGTTTTTGTATTTATTAGAAACTATTTTAATTATGAATATACAAGGTTTATAAAAAAATTATTAAAGAATAATTAATTAAAAAAATGTTAAATGCTGATTACATATAGGCTTTGTCTCTTCAATTCTCCATAAATGCAGAATAATTTATTCTGTATGATTAACATAGAGATCCAAAATAAAAACAATTCATTTGTTAATATTGGTTAAGAGGTACTTGCTGTTTTACTCCTGGTATTTATTAATGCAATATATTTAGAATTTTGCCATTTTTCCCATGGAATTTAATATTTAGAATATTAGATTGATTCAATAACAAATTTAAAACCTTTACCTAGTGTAGAGGATGTAAAATTGAGATATAGAATTGATGGTTTTCCAAAATAATATTTTGTGGTTGAGAAATTTTAATCACATCCAAAAGTTAAGGAATAATTGAAGTAATATCATGAATATATTGGAAAATATTATGATCCTAATAAAGTTTATACTTTAAAAGAAATTAAGTTTGAAAGATCAATCAAACCAATTATACTTAATACTATGTATTTGATGGAAATTTAAGACTTTTATTAAAAAATTTTAGAAAAATTAAATGTTAAAATTATTCCTAGAGCTGTGTTCATTCATGAATTGAATAGAGTAGGATACTCATTTATGGGTAAGTATTATATAATAATATAATATAGGAAGTCATTTCGCTAGACCTAAAACATTAATATTCCATTTATAAAATAGTGGTTATTGTTTTTCTAAGACTCTTAGAACAGACATCGTAATACATGGATATGATGAATCTATTTTAAGAAAATAAAATACTTTAAAAGTCCTTAAATAAGGAGTAGGTAAATAATAAAATTTAGAATAAAATGAGAATTAGGATGATATTAATAAGGAAGATAATGAAGATTAAGAAGAAGAGGAAGATGATGAAAATATAGGATTTGATGATCCAATAGAAACTAAGGAGGGAGAAAAGGATATTGTATTTTTAATTAAGGTTGAGAATAAGGAAGAATTGATAAAATGTTTTATTTAAAAATTATAAGAAATCTTAACTGAAAAACCAGAGTTAGCTTAACTTACAGATATGGATGATTTTCAAGAAGCAATAGATCAAATAATTAAATAATAAAATTAGATTAATTTTGAAATGTAATAAAGAATTTTACCAAATTTGTATTAAATGTTGACAATCAAAGATTAAATTTGGGATGAATTTGCTGAAGAAAATGGATTACAACATATAAAATTTAAAAATTCAAGAGATTCTGGAATATAAATAAGTTCAATAGTGTAATATTTTACACCTGAATAAAAATAGGAATTAACTAATTATCTTTAGAAACCAAAAATAAAATATTATTTATGTTAATATTGGATGAGAGGTATTTGCATTTTCCAAAAGAAAGACTGTAGATTTGCACATGGTCTTGAAGATTTGGAATTAAATTTTGATGTTGTAAGAGATTTTGAACAATTAAATTAAGAATAAAAACCATTAAGATATAATTAGAAACCATTAATAAATCATAGAACTTATACAATTTTATACTTATAACAATATAGGATGATTGATTAAGGAGCATTGGAAAAACACTAAAAGAGAAATATCTTTTAAATTGATAATTTGAAGGAATATAGAGATAAGATTAGAGAATTTATTTCAAAAGAAATGATAATTAATGTATATAAGAAAATTTCTAATGGAAAACCATAGAACAAAGGAGAAATTATGAAATATTATAATATGATTGGATTCATTTAGAAAGGAATTGATTTGTCAGAATTGAAGATAATAAAAATATTAATTAATAATGATGCTGTATTTGAGAAAGAATCTATAGTTAAAGTACATTAAATTGAATAAGAGGGTTTGAGTAAGAAAGAGAAAAAGAAGGTTACTTAAAAACAGATTTTATTAATTCCTGTATTGGATTATAATGCATATGACAAATTTTATGAATCAATTATTTTTTAAGCATTAGTAAATGTTTTTAAGAATAAAGTGGAATTACCAATAGAGGAGAGTGTAGTAAAGAAAGAAATTTATAAATTGGATTAAGTTTTAGAAATGCCAGGACTTTATCAATATTTTCTTAGACATCCAAAAAAGAGATATACATTAATTGAATATTTTTAAGAGAATATTTTAGGTAAAGTTAAGACTCAATTAAAGGATTAAATTGATCCAGAAGTATATGAATAAATATCTGAAGATGGATTTAATTTGATTACATTTGAAGCTGATATTCCATCATTAATGGCTATAATTTAAGCTATTTATGGTAATGCATTAAGTCGTAATTAAATTTCAATAAATTTTGATAAATTGATAAAGTAAATAGAAATGAAAGCAAGTGATAATGATAAATACAATTGTTTAGTAAATTATCTGCATAAGGAGAAATTACATAAATTTTATAGTATAAATGGAAATCTATATGTAATAAACTAATATGGAAAGGCAATAGATAAAATTAAGACATGTAAATGTGGAAAGTAATATTAAGCACCAGCAAAAATAAAATAAATTAATAATAATATGTTAATCTAAAAGATAATGGAGGTTTAAGAATTTATTGATAAAGATGTGAGAAATACTATTATTGTAGATTCTGCAGAAAAATTACTTTTAGCATAAGAATTCATGTCTTTTGATGTTAATTATATTGCAATAGATATAGAAGGATAATTGAAAAAAGGAGATATTTGGTTAATATAGATGGGTGTGATGGTTGAAAATTTGAGGATAATATTTATTTTTGATTTAATGAAACCCAAATATTTGGAAGCTGATTTAGTATTTCATGAATAGATGTTAAGTGTAATTAGAACAATTTTAGAAGATGAAGGGATTTGTAAAGTATTTCATGATTGTAAAAGAGACAGTTAAGCATTACATATTAATTAGATATGTCCAAAGAATATTGTTGATACAAGTAGCACATTTTAATTTTTGGAATATTTGAAATTGAATGATTAGGATTAGAAAAAAGTTAAAAAGAAGTATTATTATTATTAAATATTATAGTCCAATTTAAATATCAAAAGAAGTATTATAAGTAGCTACTCCACCAATTAATAGTGTATTAATAAAATATGGAGCTTTACATGGAGGAAATGAATTAAAAGAAGAAATGCATAAAAAATTCAATCATTGTAAAGCAGATGATTTCTTTGCTCGTCCAAATCCTGCCTTTATGTATTATAGTGCAAGGGATGTGGAAGATCTTGTTTAGGTATATTTATAAATGGAAATGTTTGCTTTGGAATATAGATACATTATTGAGAAAATGAGTAACAAAAATAAAGAGTTTTATTTTAAGAAAAAGGATAATTGATTTGTATATATTTATATAAATAATATATAAATTAATTGAAATGTTACCTAAAATGTTAGGTAATATTTAAATATGATCATCATTAGATGCTTCCTTTTTGTATGGAGAGAAGAGATTCTTAAAGAAGCTTAATCGATAATATGATGAAAAGTATTATGTTATTGATTAGTAATGAGATTAATTAAAACTAAGAAATGACATTTGAGGAAGTTTTATCTTCAAATATAGATTGTAGAGACAAGATAGAAAAGTTAGTTTCTGATTCCAATTTATAAAATGATTTTCTAATAAAAGCACATAATATAAACAAAGATTTGAAAAACTTTTATTATCTACCTTTAGTTGCTTTAACTTTAGATCCTCCTAGTTATTATCCAGTAGATACAATTGATATTGAAACAATCTTTTAACATTTTGGATAAGTAATTAATTTATTCAATTATTCGAGATACTCAAAGTTATCAATAAAGATAAAATAGCTTATATTTTAATGAGAAGTATAGTTGAATGTTGGATTGCAGTTAAATTACTTAATAATACTCCAATTGAATTACCTGGTAGATTTGGAACTAATTAGATTCATACTCTTAAAGTATAATTATGTTTTGAAGATTCTTCTGTTCATCATATTTATCAATTTAATCATAGAAATCTGACTGAAGAAGGATTAACTATTTAAAAGGTAAGAAGTATTAATTTTTAGGAAGACTCCAGATTTATTTGATAATTTAGAAAAAGATTATAAATATATATCTATATTTGAAATTGATGTAGATGTATTTTAGAAAGATTTTAATATTAAATAAAGAATATTAGGATTAAAGGGTTCAAATATAATTAGAATATTATATTTAGTAGAGAAAGCATTTGCATTTTAAACTAAAGAGAATACAAGTACTAAATAAGAATTAGATGTAAAATTATTAGTGGATGAATGTAAATTCCAATTTTATTTAGAGAATCTGAAAATTAGTTGATTTTACTTGGCAACTAATGGAATAAATTTGTATTAGCATAAAAATATGCAAATGAATTATTTGCTTAAATTAAAGAAGAGTTTAAATTTTTTTAGGATTTCCAACTTTAAGGATTAAAAGAATCCAGAGTTAGAAGAATTGATAAATTTGTTTAACCTGTTGAAGTTTAATATTCATATGATTCAGATTTGTGAATAATATATTTTGAGTATTCTTTATTAATATTAATTAATTTTTAATTTTTGTAAAAATTTAAATCATTTAATAATAATTTATAAATATATATATTATTATTTATCTCAAAATATTACTTATATCTAAGTTTAAAAATATCATATTTTTATTTCATTAATACTGCCATAACATATAAATGATTAGATAATTATATAGATGATGATTTATAAGAATCTTGTATTAATTCAATTATTATTAGATTTATTTTAATTCAATAATAAATATATCAATTTCATTTATTTCTTGGAGGACTTCCAAAAGTTTTTTTTCTATAAATTTGTAAATTTTGAACCTCTTCACATAATTACTAATATTCCTTTTTTATAAACTTTATCATTTCTTCTTTTGAGAATTAATTCTATGAATTATTATTTATTTCATTTATATTTTATCCTTATTCTCCTTATTCATTTACAAGCTCTTTTATTTAATTTAAAATTCTAGTTAATCTTTATTAATTATCACCAAAATTAGATTTTTAGTTCATTTATTTTATTTTTATTTTCTATCCAGGGTTTTATCAATTAATTTTCCTCATAATATTTTGATTTTAAATAATTTAAGCTAATCTTTATACTTATCAAATTAAATATCAATATTGATCTATACAATCATTTAATCTATTTCTTTTATAGATTTTATTACTTTCTCCAATGTAAAATTTAAATGTCCTTCTTTATGTATTGATAATTTTAAAATTTTAATAATAAAAATTGAAGTGTTAAGTAATTATTATTTTATGAATACTATTATCATTTAATATTTATATTTGAATCCCTCAATTATTATTATATTAGATGGTTGTAATATTTTAATTTTGAAACTAAATTAATATCAAAGTATATTTAAAGGAAATTCAAGCAATAAATATTGATATCTATGATCTTAACATGATGTAAATAAATTTTATTTTTATTATTGCATTCAGTTTTGATTATAAAAGCATTTTCTAAAAGTATAAACTATTTTATAGAGTTAATCCCTTTATTAGCTCATCTTTCATAATTAAAAGTTAATAAGAATGCTTTACGTTAATGATTATACTTTTTTTTTAGATGACATGGTGTAGCATTTAATAATTTATATAAAATGTTAAGGGGTGGCGGGGCTTGTACTTCTTAAACTAAATAGCAATCTCTTTCAATCAGCTCATTATAAATTTCTAATCAATTTGAGAATGTTCTCTCTAGTAATGTCCTATTGTTATCAAAAAATGCTGAGGATTTTAACAATAATTATACATAACTTTACAATAGTCTTTAAATATTGCTATCACTTGATTAAGAACTAAATAATCTCACAAAATCAAGGAATCAACTCAATAAATAGGTTGAATATTTAGAGAAATGGCTTACAGAAGTTCTTGAATCATGTTTGAAATTAAAGAACCCATAACTACGATATTTAGCACTTTAATTTGCTCAAAAACTGTCTAGAACTATATTTTGGTATTATTGTTAAGCAAAATCAATTAAAGATAGAATGCAGTAATAATATATTTCAACTTTAAATAAAATTGAGTCTTAAAATAATGCTTTAGACAGTTTTTACAAAAGTATGATTGACTATGAAATAATGGTATGTAAGATGATATTTGTTATTTTACCAAATGATATATAAGAAGGCTTGGAAGTTATGGCTTTATTTACAAGTTACAATCAAATTCTAATGACTACTCTTCCAAAATCAACTTAAGATACTATAAAAAGTGGAGTTGTTTAATCAATTAGAGATGCTACAAAAGTCTAATATAGAAAAATCTATAAATAAATCTTTAATATAGATACAATGAAATGGTGGGTCATATAAGAACTTCGATAAAATAATCATTCAGCAAAAGAAATAATTTCCGAATTACATAATTTTCATAAAGATATATCAAAATCTGATTATTATGTACATTATGCTTGGATATAAGCTATAAGTGATATTGTATCATATGCTCCAATAATATCTGAAGATTAGATATAAATAAATAATTCAGATCTATAAGATTTGATTGATATGGGATGTTTATACAAAATAAAGAATGATTATCGTGTGACACTTAACTTTATTAAAATAAGGAATCAACATTGTCAATAAATATATGAAAAAATACCATCTTTTACTATGATTAAATAAATATAAACTTAGATTATTACTTAAGATAAATTCTTTAATTCTCTTTATAAGAAAAAAGAAGAATAAAAAGAATTATAAAAATAGGATTAAGAAACAAAAAATGTATTTGAATATATTTTTTAATTGTTTGTTGAGATTGATATTGAAGCTAATATTGATTTGATTAAAAAAGTAAATTAAAGTTATATTGAATTAAATGAGAATATCACTTTAATTAAATAATTAAGTTTAAATAAATGGATTAGAATGTTAGAAAAGAAATCTTATGATGATCCTGTAGTATTTGGGGAATTTGAAGAAAAATAAAAATAAATTAAACATTTGATAAATTAAGTAAAAGGAATTTAAAGGTTTTTAATACATTTTGATTTTATACTATTATAATGGAATATGATGGAATAAATAGCTAATTCTGAAGGGAAATAAACATAATTATAATCAATATTCTTAGAAAATTAATAAAATTATTTAGATTGTCATTTAATAAGTAAAATAAATTTAGAAAATTTAAAGGATATTCAATTATTAAATATTAATTTTGATGTTTACTTTTCAATAATAACAGAATATATAGAGAAACAATATTAAACTGTAATAAAGGTTGTTTAAACAATTAGATCAACAGACCCTATTATCTCATTATATAAATAAAATAAAGATGTTACTGATATTGTTTAAAATAGTTTAAGAAAAGTGAATGATAAAATAATTCAATTTAAAAATGCATTTATGCGCATTTCTTTAAAATTAAAATAAGTAGATTATAATTGTATTTAACAATTTTATCTTGTATCTCTTAGATTATAATATTTAGAATTTCCAAATTAATAATTTGAATTCAGAAATTAAGATCATAAAACCTTATTTTATATTTAAGGATATGAGAAATAAATAATAAAGAGTTAATTGATTGAATTACACAAAGAATTTAGAGAGTTATTTGCAAGTAGTTAATTTTAAGATTTTGAATAAGCTAAAGTTTATATAAGATCAATTTAATTTATAAGTAAAACAATTGATAATTTAATATATTAAAATAAGAAGATCATCTAACATATTCATAATTATAAATTATCTATATAAATAGATTATGCATATGATTATTATAATGATTTAATAAATTAATGGAATACAATATTTGAAATGGCAGAAGAATTGGATTATCAAAAATATGACTAATCTTTTATTTAAATAAAATATGATGAATTAAAAAAGATTTATGATTCTATTTGTTAAATAAATATATCTATAAGATGGCCACTTAATCCTTAATTAGCTTCATATTTTAAGATGTAAAATTAATTAGAATCATTAATTCAAGAACTCTAAATTTATTAAAGTTATAATCTTAGCTAAGATTTAAACTCTTAATTTAGGTATTAAAGTATTATAACAAATATTAAATAAATATGTCTAAGTTAAGTGTAAAAAGTTAAGTCAATTCTTGAATAATATACATAAGGAGTTGATTAATTATCAAATAGATTAGAAAATTAAACTAATTTTTAAATTGAAGAATTATAAAACTTATTAATAAGTGTATAAGAAGCTTTAGATGATACTTTAAATGTAGTTTAATCTAGAATATTAACATCAAATTAAACTTCAACTAGTGGATCAATAAATATATTGTAAAGTAATAAAAAATAAGATTTTGAGACATTCTATAATTATAAATTTAATACAGAAACTATTATTGTTATGTAATTTATTAAATTTAATTTCAATTTTATAGATTAAAATGCAATTTTAGAAATACTCAAATCAGATGAAAATGAGTTAGAAAATCTACATATTGTTTAATCAGCTATGGAATCTCCAATAATAAGATAAATTATGATTGTTAATTTAATAAATGTTTGGAATTGTTGTTTAGTAGAAGAAGATTTTTATACTATTAGTAAATTAATTTTATAAATTCGATTAAATGAAACTAATATATTAATTAAAAGAGAAATTAAATCAACATATAAAAAAGAGCTTAATTAAATTGTTAATAATTAACTATAAATTGAATTAGCATTTTTTGAGTAAGATTTAAGATAAATGATTTAAGAAAGAAATTCATTATATTTTTAAATTAAATATGAACCAACCTTTGAACTTTCATAAAAATTAGAAGAAAAGATCAATAAATTAACAAATCAAATATAAACAAGAATTTAAAATTGTTAAGAATTGGAGTAAGAATATCATATTGATATACCATTTTGTCATCAATTATTGTCAGAATTTGAAAAAAGTTACTAAGGTTCTTAATCCTTAGAAATACAAGAGATTAGCTTTTATTAAGGAAAATCAATTACAGAATTATTTTTATTAAGAATGGATAATATTTCTAGAAAAATAAAAATTTCTTAAGTTAAAAATACATATGTTGAATTTGTATGTTAAAATAAAAATAAAAATTAAATTAGATCATTATTTTCATAAAAAGAAAAAAGAAATAGTACTATTGATAGATTTTTAGATGATTTATAATATGATCAATTATTATTATTATAAGGTGAATCAGGATCAGGAAAGAGTTTAGCAATTAAAATGATTGAAGAATATGTTTGGAAAAGAAATGATCCTATTAAAATAATTCCAATAATTGTTAAAATATCATAATTGAAAGATCCAATTAATAATGCTATAATTGAAACTTTAAGATCCTTAAATTATAAATTAAATGCTTCATAAATTGAATAATTACAAACTCATATTAAATCTAATAAAATGCAAATGCTATTTATATTTTAAGGTTATGATAAACTTAATCAAAATTAAAAATGCATAAATTTTCTTAAATCCAATAATTTAATTTAATGGAATACACCTTGTTTATAGAATACTCCAAAATATATTATTGTAACAAGAAGTGAATAATTTAAAAATCCTAATCATTTACGTTGGATTGATTAAAATGAGTTAAATTATAAAATTAAAAATTATTGGAATTTAAAAATAATTCCTTTTGATTTTGATTAAATTAATTAATTTTTAATTCAATATTAGGAAATAAGTATAAGAAATGTTGTTATGGATTTTTATTAACTTATGTGTGAATTTCCACATTAAGATTTATTGATTTATAATTTTATCTCATTTTGGAAAAAAATTAACTTTAATTTTAATGAATAGAGTTTAGGAAATATATTACTCTCTTAACCAATAATCAATAAATTAATCATTACATTATAATAAGATACAAATATTAAAAATTTTAAAGGTTCTATTACATAATAATTGTCTTCTTAATTAGGATAATTAAAATCAAGTTATTATTATAGTAGAATGTTGGAAATCCTTTAATTTGAATAACCAATTGATAATCCATAAATCTTAAAAGTTTTTATTTACGCATTACCAAAATTAATTTAAAATTTGATTGACATTCCTAAAATTAAAAATTAATTTTTTAATGTCTTTTTTTGTTAAAATTATTAAAGTATTTGTGATATTAGTGAAGCTAATAATGAATTAGAAAAATATTGGAATTAATTGGTTAATAGTTAATTTTTTAAAATGTATACTATAGATTATTCAATAGCAAAAGCTAAATTAACAATAAACTAATTATTTTAAAATGATAAAACATTGATAAATAAAATAATATAAGCATTTGAAAAAATATAAATTACACATTATGATTTATACGAAGAATATATGAATTATTACTTTGATAAGTCTGTTATTAATTCTGAATTATAAGAATAAGGGATTGATAACATAACATTTAGAGAAGAATAATGGAACTTTTGTTTAAATTTAGCATAATAATTAGCTTTTAATGAAATATTTTCAATCAAATTGAATAATTAAAGTTCATCAAAGGCAATAGGATCAGTAAGTGATTTATAAATAATTTTGCATGATGATATATATTCAATAAAAGATACTCTTATTACAAAAAAGTATTAAAGAAACTCTCTTCCTTTAATAGAACAATTTTCAGTATATTCTTTTGAAAGCAAAATAATTTAAGAATTCTTAGTAGCTAAAGTAATAATAAAATAAATTGATTCAATAGATGTTATTCCAATTAATGAACTATTTGATAATAGTATACTTAAAATTAAAAATTTATCAAATCCATTTTATATAGGAACTGTCAATTTTATTATTTAAAAATTAAAATCAAAGTTTTATTCCAAGAAGAATTTAATGAAGATGATATAATTATCATCAAATAATCCTGATTTCTGTCAATTATCATCTAATGCCTTTTTTTTATTAATTTAATTGGATAGAATTATTAGAGGTGCTAATCTTATGAATATAAAACTAAAAGACATTTAAATAGAGGATTGTTATTTACAAGATTGTAATATTAGCGGATGTGAATGGAATAATATAAGTATAAAGAATCTTACATTAATAAATAACAATATGTAGAATATGATTTTTACAAATCTTAAATTAGCCTCATATTTTATAAGAAATAATTTAAAAGATCCCCTTTTTGTTCGAATATTTTAATCTGGTAAACTTTTTATTATTTATAAAAATGCAATTAAAGATGTATATGATAATTTAATTATTAATGGTAAATTTGAAAACTGTTAAATATATTAAATAGGTAATGATTTTTATATTACAACATATAATTAATTTTATCTTCTAAAAGAATATAATAATTAAATTAAACAATATTAATTTAATATTGGTAATGTCATATCAGTAACATAATTTGATTAATATATTATGCTTTTATAATTGATAACATCTTCTGATGCTAAAATATTCTAATTTAATCCAATCAAATAAGAAATCTAATTTCAAATTCCAATATTAGTCTAAGATATTATCAAATATAATATTAAATAATTTTATGAGATGCAAGGTAATCTCATAGTTTTTTTAACATAAACTTAATTAGTTTAAAGCATGCATTATTAAATTGAAGAAGGATAATTATCCTTTGATAATTTAACAGTGCATACTACCTTAGATAATATAGAATGCATAAATTCAATAAAATATTATTAAGATTTAGATATCACTGTTGTTACAAAGTAAACTATAGATATTAATTAAGAATATGATATAATTTATGGTACTTTTAATTAATTAATTGGAAAATTTATTATAATTGAAAATTAAAAAAATTAGTTTTTATATTTAAACAACACAAATTTATAATTAATAAGTTAGGAAACATTTAAAATGATAAGTGAATGTGAATTGAATGAAAATACTTAACATTTAAAAAAAAATCAATGTTATTTAATAGATAATGATACTATGTTATTAACATTTTAAGATTCTTTTTTAATTTTGAGTTTATAACCTTTTGAAGTAATTAAACAAATTAAATTAAGAACTAATGATCTCATAATAAATTAGAAATTAAATAATATTTAATTATTGACTGAGTCAGAACTTCTTTGTATTGATATACCTTATGTTAAAGATAGATAATATAAAATTATAAATTCAGCATTTTAATTAGATATGGTTTATTTTGTTTAAAATTCTTTTAATTTTTTAGGTAAAATGAGTAAATCATCTGATATTTATATTGGAATGTTGAAGAATAACAGTTTTGATTTTAAGAATTTATGTCAATCTGATTATCCTTAATTTTACTTAAATAATGATGAAAACTATGCAATCATTAATAAAAATAATGAAACTGTATGTTATGATCTAAAATCAAATACAAAAATGAATTATGTTGCATTATTGTATGATAGAATCTTATGGATTAAAGATAACTAAAATTTCTTTTATTTATAACATGGTTACATAGAAGAATTTAGAAATTCTTTGATTACTGTAAAGAATAAGATCATTAATAAATAGTCTTACAGATAAATTAAATCAGTTTAAAGCACAGAAAAAAGATTATTTATAACTACTACAACAAATGAAACTATTGTGTTAAATCAATAATTTTAATAGGAATACATTACAACTAAATAAATGATTAAAAAGTATAGAGAATTCTATATAACAAACCATGATCTGAGATATGAAAGTAATATAAGAAATACTATCACAATTATATATGATTCAAAAAATTAAATTAAAGATTTTTGGATATTTTCAGAAACAATATTAATTAGAGAATAAGAAGATAATAATGAAATGAATACTTTAGTATTATTGAGAAAGTCAGATAATTTAATATTGAGTAAAATTTAAATTTAAATTGATCATATTGTTTATACAGATAATGTTATATAGATTATTAGTCATAAAATTTTATGGTTAACATATTCAGCAAAAGATTTTTAATAGCTACAATCTAACATATTAAATATTAACTCAATTTAAATTTCATCAAATAATTTAGATTAAATTGCTTTTGTTTCTACTTTTTCAGAAATTACTATTTGGAATACAATTACATATTAAATTCAATAAAGTTTAAAAAATGTAGAACTAATATAATATTTTAAAATGATACCAAATAAAGATAGACAATTTTATGTTGCTGATAGAGATGTTTTAAAATTTTACAATCAAAATTAAGTTAGGTTTACAATTTAATTAATAAAAAAAAGAATATAAATTGTAACTAATACATGGGGTGCTATTCATCATATTTATTAAGTAGAAGAAGATAAAATCACATTAAATAGTATGAATGAAGATTGTAAAATAATTAATTGGAAAAAAGTAGTATTTGAATTAGATTCAATAAGAGAATAAATAGATTGTATTGATAATCAAGATTAAAAATTAATATTTTTTAGTGGATAAAAACTATAATAAAGTAATTTTGATTCATTTGATGTAATAAAGAGTTTAACATTTCCAGATTCTTTTAAGGCTATTTAAATAAAATATAATCAAGATTGCTCTTTAATAATATTAAGATCTAATGAAAAAATTATTATTGTAGAAGCATAAGGTTTAAAAATTATGAATTAAATAACATTTAATGAAATTTTTCTATCATTTTTTGATTATGCATCTTAACTTGAAATCTATGTATAAGGACAAAATAATTTGATTTTCAAACAAGTTAAAGATATGCAAAATTTAATTTATACTTATTCTTTAACTTCTAAAAAATTAGATTTAATTACTATAAGCAATGATGAATTAATGATAGGATCTAATTCTTAAGGTCTAATCATAATTAATAAATAAACTGGATCTATTGAATTATACAATCCAATAATTATAGAAACTAAATTTAATTCTATATCATATATCAAAACAATAGAACATAATGTATCAATGCTTGCCAAATGTTAATTATATGGTAATTAACTACAAAATTGTAATATAACTCTTAATAATCAAACTAATATTAGTGATATTTGGAGAAATATCATATCAGATAAATGATAATTATTTATATTTTAAATATAACAATTCAATAATTATTATTATTTCACTTCTAAATAAATATTAAATTGTTAATATTTTAATATATATTAATATAAATAATAAAATTCATTAAAGTACAACATTTTAATTTTGTTCTATTAGTTTAATTTGATTCAATTAGGTTTTTAATTTTATAAAATTGTAATATTTAATTATAAGTATCTAATATAATAATAATATCAAGAGTTGAAAATCTCTTGGATACATAGAATCTTTCTATATATTTTTAACTATAATACTAATTCATTTTATTTTTTAATCTAAATCTTCTATTTTCAACTTTCTTTTGCAGAATAATGAATTACTATGAATTATACCTTATTCTTAGAGAGATATATTGTATTTTCAATATCTAAGTAAAATAACTTAAAATAAATCTATTTGGTATAATATTTATATATAATTTGAATCAATAGCATTTGGATTTGATCTCAAAGATTCTTTTTTTTGCTTAAAAATTCGCTAACTAAAAGCTTTTTCTGTAAACGTCACTCCAATTTGAATAACCAATCTATGGCACATACCAGCAAATTCTAAACCTCCATCTCCTAAAGCACTTTCTAGCCAATCTAAATGTTATATGTTAATATGATGCATAAACATCAAATGTCAAACTTTCGATCTAAAAATCTAAAAATACAATATATTTTTCAGGTATGATTACATTGTCTACTTAATTAATCATAAATTATGCAACCCCATTAGCAGATCCTTTGAAAATATATCCTTGAACTCCTGCTCTAATTTTAATTATATGTACTAAATTTAACTCTCCATAAGCTGTAACACTCAAAGATGCATAAATATATTAAGAAATACCAAATTCATTTTCAGTTTTGATAGGAGATTCAATAAAACCCCAAGAATAATTATAATCTGCCCCAACAGTTACAGGATAACCCATGATTAAAATAATTATACTAAAAATTCTCTGAGATTTCTCTCCTTTTATTTCAAATTTTTCTAAAGGTTTTCCTTGATATGAAAAATCTCTTTTGTATAAATCAACTACGCAACCACCATTAAGTGAAACACAAGTTTTGAAAAACCCTGAAGCACTTCCTTCTTTTACTTCTCCTTTAAATTCTGCTTATAATCCAACTTTTTATTTCAATACTGTAGCTTCTTTTAGAGTTCTTTTTTAGTTGAAAATACTAGAAGTACATTCACCTTCTTAACTTTCATATTCAGTTTCAGAATTAGAATGAACATCTCCATTTTCATTTTCTAATAATCTATTACCTTCTTATTATAAATCTTACACTTAATCTTATTAATCTTATTAATTTTATATTTTATCTTATAAATCCTAAATAGTATAATATTGAATAGTTTATTTATTTTTAATTTCTGTCAGAAGATTTGTTAAATCCTCATCTGATTTGGTTTCAACAGTTATTAAATTTGAATCATTAGTAATTTCTGTCTCTGATTTATCAGCTAAATCATCAGAGTTTTAATTAACATTTTCTGTTTATATAGAATTACTATATTTAGAATCAGTAGTTATATGTGAAGATACTAAGTAATTGTTATTGTCTAGGATAGTTTCTTATGATTATTCAAACATATCAAAAATATTGATTCCTTAAGAATTACCATCTATTTAATCTGATTAAGATATAGTCTTTTTAATTACAGTATTACCAAACCATGATTTTGTTTTACTTGATTTAGGAATAAATGCTTCCTTGCCAATAAAGTAAACATTTGAATAATCTTCTTTTAGTAATCTATTCCCATCAGTTCCAGTAGTATTAGTTGATTCAGCTACATTTGGAGCAATATGTATAATGTTAGAAACTAATGGTTATATGAGTAGATCTGGAATTTCAATAGGTATTCCAATTTACTATATTGCTCCAGTCTATTAGTCAGTAATTACTGTAACTAATGGTACCTCATTTACATTTCCACATTCATCTGCAGGAATTCCTTCACAAAAATTGTCATTTTCTGTAGGTTGACTTTGTTGTAATCTTCTTAAAGATTTCTAAATTTATTCTTCTATTTCTGTATTCTAATCAATCATTTCATCATACTATCTGGTTCCATCAGAATTCTATTAGAAGGTTTTGACTTTCAAGCTTGTTAACATCAACAAGCTTGTGGCATTTTATTTGTTGACATCATTAACCACTCTTTTTGTTTTCATTTCAATTTAAGTACAATTGTGGATTTTATCTGATGTATAGTGCATACAGATTTCATCCACCTATTAGAATTCATCTCTTTAGAATTTTTTAAGTGTTGGAGCAGAACTAGTATTTTGACTTAGATATATTCCTAAAAATATTCCGATACCAGCTAACACAAAGAAAGTAACACTGAAAGAAATCCATTTACATTTTGTTGAGAAGTATTACTTAATTGGTTCTTTCTTATCATTTTAGCTGTCTGATAAACTTGGACTGCTATCTGGATTTATCTCCTATTTTTCTTCTTACATATGTGTTTATTGCATTTTAATATTAATATTATTTACAAAAATGGCTTGCTTATATAGCCAGAAAGATACAGAATATTAATAATTTCTAGAACAAAGTTCTAATTAAAATTTATATTAAATATAATAAAATATACTTAATTAATAAATGCTCAATTATTATATAATAGTTCAGTTACATTATATTATATTTTATAATATTGTTAATTATTATGCTTATTTTGATTGAATCGAAGGTCCTTCAAACTAAAGTATTCTAATTATTTATTCTTCAAATGTATAATAGAGTCCCACATAAAATTCTAAGTTAATATAAAGAATAACAAAAAGATAATATAATTAGTTTTTGAAAAAGAATATTTTTATTATGATCTTGACTTATTGAAATTTATGATTCTCAATAGTTCTCAATGTTTAAATCCATTAGCTTAATTAGATTATACATTCTTTTTAATTATTCCAGAAAGGATGCAATCCCATCTTAAAAAAATAATTTTTAGCTATTGCAATAAATAACATGATTAGAATGTGATATACAATATATTTTTTGACTAATCTAACATAATAATGAAGAATTATCGAATTTAACAAGACCTTCATAATTTCATATAATCCACTCAAATCCTAATTATTATTAACCCTAATATTAACTTCCTAAATTACAGAGCCTTAAGAGAAGTTGATTATATAAATAATTAACTTAAAATTTATCAAAAAAGATTGATGACTGTGCTGTCTTTGCAATTAAAGTGGAATTAGGAAAAGAATTTTATTGCTTTAAATTTGAAGAAAAATATTGTTTATAAAAAAAATTATATTCTATTCCATTAGATTAAAAGCATTCTTCTCGTTAGCATTAAAATATATAATATAAGTAACTGAACTCACTAATTATTCTTATTTAAGCTTATATTCTTTTATATTTAAAAATGATAATAATAAAAAATGAAATTAATTAAAATAATTATATCAAGAATTAATTATTTCTTCTAATTGATGCTATAATAAGATAATTTAATACATTAATTTTATTTAGAAATTTTTTATCTTATTAACTTGCTGTATCTATAAGTAATTAAATTTCTGAGAATGGATGATCTACATTACTCAATATTAAACAGTACTTCATTAATTAATCAATTAAACCAGAATTAATAGCTATATAATATTATAAAGAGAAACCTTAAGAATTGCACTCATCAATTATAAACACCTCAACTTTTCTCTTGGATAACTCATAAAGTACATTCAAAGTTTTAATAATGAAGAAAATTTGATAATTAATAAAGTGAAGGCATTGAGAGATTCTCTAAAAGCACATGCTTTATGGGTAGATTTATTGTTGATATTAGAAAAGTATTGACTGAATTTTGAAATTTATGAGATTGATTAAAAAATTAATCAAATTAAAACAGAAATTATATATAATAAAAATAATTGAAAAAGGGCCTTTATATATCTGACTGTCACAACTATAATGGAAAATGGATAATTACAGAACATTTACTTGAACCAAACGTAGATCTTAGTATAAATATGTAATATAGAAGTTATAATCGAGAATTTCAAAGAAAATATGCTTTTGATTATTTCACTATTCATAGGATGATATTTTATTAATTTTTTTTAAATGAAGTAGATGGAAAAAAGATTAATAGACATCTACCTAAGGTTAGTTTTCATAAAACTATTTAATTATTGTATTTCTTTATATTGAAATTGTGGTAATATATTTAAATTCTATTCTAATTTAGTAGATAATAAGAAATTCAAAATATATTTTTATTTATTCATAATTCAATATAAATATAATTTTTATTTTATATTTAGGAAAGTATATGGGACAAATACCCAAAAATTTTCTTCAAACCAAGAAGATTTTTCATGATTGTACAATAATCTCCAATTTAGTTTAGGATTTAGAAGGTTTTCACGTTTAACTTTTTTTATTCAAAAATTAATCAAAGAAATTGTGCCAATAATTTGAAATATATTTAGAATGGTATAAGATGTGTTGATTTTACACTTTCTAATTAATTAACTGGAGTCAATTAAGCAGAATGCTTTTACATAATCAAAAAATGGTCCATTATTTCATTGTAAGAATTGTGCAAACCAAGAAATGTTAAATTTATCAAATTAAAACTAGATTTAATTTAACTATCTTTAAATATTGAATTTCTTATCTAGAAAAAATATAAGCTCAGAAATTACAAGTTAATTGAATTCAAATCAATTGTTTTAAACATATCTCAATAATATTTATATTTATTTCATAGCTAGATTTAATTCTATTATTTTGTTCATTTTTAGTTATTTTTTTGCTGTTGTAATAAATTACAAATTTCTATTAATTCAAAGACAATGACAAACTCTTAAGAATAAAAGTTCATTAAGTTGTATCTAATTAATATTGCACTTATTTATATTACATGATTATTATGATAATATAGATAAATTATATTACTTGTGATATTAGATAATTCATTGTAAGAGATTGTAATTTATTTTAAAATTACAGATATAATACATATATTGTATGTGATTAATATATTTTATTGGAGTGATAATCATGTCATTTGATTAATTTAAATATTTTATCAATTTTTGATAATAAATATTGTGCTTAATCATAATTCTTTGCTTAAAATTCGTATTAATTTATACAATTAATAAATTTCCTATTTCTATGAATCAGGAATTTACTTTCTAACGAATTTCTTCTTCTTCAATGTAAACAGATGAATTAAAAAAAAAGTACATTCTCTAAAAGATTCTAGGCTATGGTCGATATGGGTATATATTATTCTTATTCTTAGAACTGTATATAAAGGTGTAAATTTGCGCACCAAAGAAACAGTTGCCATCAAAGAATTGTGCCATAGCATTGCTGATTAAGGGGTTTGCTATATTATTTAATTCAAGATTAATGTTTAAGCCTTAAGAGAAATTGAAATACTTAAATCCGTCAAATGTGAATAAATTGTGGCTTTCAAAGATTTAGCTTGTGGATAGAAGAAAACTTATATAATTATGGAATATATGGAAGAAGACTTATTAACTGCTTTAAGAAGAGATACCTTCTCAGAACAATAAATCAAAATGATCATGTTTTAAGTGCTTTAAGGTTTGGCTTACTTACACAATTAAGGAATTATCCATAGAGATTTAAAACGTAACATTTTATATTACTATTTTAGCTAACAATATTTTATATAGAAATTTAGAAATTAAAATTTGTGATTTGGGAATGGCTCAAAATTTAAATAAGTTAAAGCCACAAACAACCCGAATTCAAAATCATTCATACAGGGCTCCAGAAGTGTTCCTTGGTTTATTAAATGACTAATATTAGGTTAAAAATATTGCTCTAAGGTTGATGTTTGGTCTGCAGGAGTGCTATTTATTGAATTGCTCTTTAAAAGCAATCCTTTTAAAGGATCATCTGAAGTTGCTAGTTTTAATTAAATTTTGAAATTTTGTGGAACTCCTGTTGAAGGTATATTATTAAATAATGTATAGAAAATTGGTTAGGGGTGACTTCACTCAAAAACTACTCTACTCTTATAACTGAAGAACCATAACCAAGAACTCTTCAACATTTACTTGAGAAAAAAATGCCTCCATTATTAGTAAATCTAATTGATTCAATGCTTATTCTTGATCCTTCTTAGAGAATAACTGCATAAGAAGCTCTTTTGCATCCTTATTTTCATGGAATGAATATAGAAAGGTATTATTTGTTATTTTATCCTTATTACACAGATGCCTTAAAAAAATTTAGGCAAACAGAAAAAATATAAAGACTGAATCGTAAACTTAAACAGAAGTCTTTAACTACCCTAATGGAAACAAAATAATTGTGGTTTCGTAAATCTCCCAAAAAAGCAAAAATTGCTTTTGAAAACTCAATAATTTTGTTTCTCTTAAGTCTGTTTATAATTTATAATAATTAATATTTATAATTATTTCAATATAAGACTTTCTTAAATTCATAATGGAAATCAAAATTCTTGAATTTATTTTAAATATCAATTTAATAAACTCTAATTTAAATAATTGATTTAATTAGAGTATTCAATTAATTGATAGGGTACCTTTTATTCTTTATATATTTAAAAATAATATCCACTATTATGGCTAAGCTATTTTTAAATCTTTCAAAGTTACTAAATCATTAATTATTTTAAATAATAATGGGTTGTACTTCAACAAAAAACAAATATAAACGAGACCTTTGTTTTTTGAATATTCCTATTCAAACAGGAAGAAATATGTGTAAAGAGGAAGGAATAATCTCTAGAGAATACAAAAAAAGTTCATCTTAGAATAGAACTTTAAATTAATAACAAATAATTACTTATAATAATGAAAGTCCTCATAATTAAGAGTAAAAATATTGAATGCTTCTCGACTACAATTTATTTACATCTTAATGAATATTTATTATTAATATTATACATATAGTCTAACTCAATTTGTTTATCTAATAGAGAAATGATGGCTCAAAAATAAAAACTACAATTCAAATTAATATTTATTAATTGAAATAATAACTATAAGACTTATAAATAATATCCCATCTAAGCTACCTCTATTAGAATAACAATTTAATTTCAATCTTTTGTTGAAAGTGTGTAGTAAGACTTTAATTATTTTAAGAGTTTATAACTAAATAAAACGATATTATTATAAAATTAAATAGAAAGTATTAATCAAATACTTATTTGATATTAATTATTTAAAAAGTAAAAATACATGAATAATCATCATAAATAAATAATAATATATAGAATTATGTTAAGAGCTTGTATAGATTAAATATTTCTTCTAGAGTTTATAAAATAAACTTTAGTAATGAAAATATTAAGATTAACAGTTTATATAATTTTTCGTTTTTTCTTTAAACATTAAAACATAAATGGTTTGGGATTTTTAAAATGATTATTCTTGATTAAAATTTAATTAATTCTCTATCATTAATACGTATATTCAATATAATAAAATAAGTAGAAAAAAATACATTATAAATTGATAATCCAAACTAACTGAAAGCAAATTTCCATTGAAAAGGAATTTCCTCCTCATTCAATATGTTTATCGTAAGCTATAACAATGTTGATAATTTATTATATATTTTATTTCAAGTAGGCCTCTTGAGAAAAAAATCGAATAAGTTAGTTCAACATGGAGAAAAAAAATATATATATATATTTTAAACACCAAAAGGAATAGAATTCCTAATGAGATCAAAATAAAGGTATGTAATTTGAACTCATCCAAAAGGAAGGCAATGTGTATAGAGAAATTTAGCAAGAAGAATTTTAAATTTATGGATGATAATTTATTACTCGATGCATTATATAATATTAAATTATGATCAATTATCCTCTAAAGGAAAACTGGCATGAAGATCGCTAAATGTTTAGGAGAGATTGCCTATAAAATTTGACATTAAGTCTTCAGCTTCTGGAAATAGTCTTAGTTAAATTAAGTCATCAAACATGTATATTGGAGATTCTTGTTCGATGATTGGGATCATCTCTTCAGATGGTGCATTCATATGTTAATATTAACTTAGAAATAATAAAGAATTGACATACTTTCCAAGAACTTGATCCCATTAAAATCTTAATGATTTATAATATCTATTTTTTAACATATTTGTTGATTTTCCTGGAAAATATCTTGCAAACTTATGAAACTTAGGTCCCTTCTTTAGTATATAGATCAACAATCTTTAATCTTCTTCAAATGAAAATTATTTTCCTCTATTCTTTTATTTTTTTCTTTTAATATTCTTCTCTCTTTTCACTGTGTAGCGTATTAAATTGTTTTTTGAATCATTAGTGGCTTTGGTTATCTATTAATGATTTTTATTCATCAATTTATGCGAATAAACGCTTTCAAAATTTTCAGTTATATCACCAACTGCTAGATAAGTCACAAAATATTACAATTATTGTCTTAACTACTCTAGAGAGATGAATCTTTATCGTTAACTAAGTTTTCATCATTTTATTTCAGTTAATTTGTTTGATTGGGTATCTATTAAAGTCTTCTTTATTCCTTATTACTTTCATTCTCATTAAAAAGAGAGTATATATTCTATTTCTTCGATTTTCTGATTAGCTTAACTGTCATGTTCATTTGAGTTATTATGATATTAATATATTTGATTTATTAATTTCAAGCATCTCACACTTAAATTGTAATAAATCTTTTTTGTTTTTAAATTTTTACACATTTTATAAAAGGAAAGTTGGCACGAAATAATCAAACTGAGATTTTATAGCCAATATATGAGTATTAAGTAAATGAAGGTGAATCATAATTAGATAAGATTTTAAGAAATATTTATAATTACAACTATTTTAAGGTTTTTATTATCCAAATATCTACATTCTTAAGCCTTTATTAAATTTAAACTATTATTTTTTATTAAAATAGAAAATCTAAGAGTCTTTTTGAGATTAAATCTATATTAATTTTAATTAAAGAATTTCTAAAAATTATAATACTCTAATATATTGAAATTAAATTGAATTGAAAACATCTTTTTAATAAAATTTATTTACTAAGGTACAACAATTAAGAATTTTAATTTTGAAAACTCTACTGCCTTTAATGTGATACATAAAAGTACAACATAGAAAGTTAATTAATATTTTTATCAATATTGAAAAATATCTATAGATTTGTAAATTCTAAGTTTTCAAATGAAATTACAATCTAAGAATTAGGATTTAATTGAATTCTAAGAAAATTTAGGTTTTAAAAGTCAAAATCTTAAAAAACGATAATAATTTAAAATATTATTTAAGGTTTTTATTGTTTATAATTAATTAATATATATATTTACAAATTGATATCAACATTTGGCTTAATTAAAGAAAGAGTTATTAAACTATTACTTTTTTAAGAAAGTAAGGTATTATTGATTAAGACTTTGTTTTTAATTTCTTAATATTTAAGATTAAAATATATTGAAACAATATTCCATCTTTTATATATATAATATTATAATTATTATATAACGAATAAATAAAATAGAAATTAATTCTTATGAAATAATAGAATTGTTACCTTTAATTATTCTTAAGAATAGAAAATAAAACTAAAAATGGAATGGAAGTATTAATCAGCGATTCAAGTTATCAATTAAATACTTAAAACTAAAAATTTATACAATAGTTTGATTTACATGTAATTTTAATTATGAATGCTTAATCAAAGAGTCCTACCATATCAATATCTTCATCTGGTTCTTTAACTTTCTTTGGTGATTCAGCCTTTAGTACTGGTGATGTTATTTAAGTAGCTAGGGCAGATGTGTATTCTTAATATTTATAAATTAAAATTAAATTTTTCTCCTCTAATTGATAAATCTGTCAATTGTTTTTACTCTTCTTGAAAAACATTCTTCAAATTTTCCGTTTTAGTTTATTGACAATATTTTAACATGTGCAGATATTGATTAAATAAAATATTAAAAATTATTCTTTTATTATAGTTTCTTAAGAACTTTTAGAAGATGATATCTAAATAAATATATTTTTAGCTTATATAAGTTTATTATTATAATATTAAATGAAATATGATTATAAACAAATAATCTCAATAATTTATTTAATATTCTTCTTGTTATAGAGATAAGTGGATATTTAAAAACATTTTTATTGATTCTGCTCTTGGTCACTTTTTATTTAAAAAATAATTATCTTTTAAGCATTATTATAAAAATAATTTAATTATTCTATGGAAAGATTAAAAAAGTTCTTTAGAGGATATATGCAAACAATGTTATATGGAATTGAAATTAGACCAAAATATAAAGTAAAGATAATAAATATTAGATTAGATGGATTATTCATTTTATATAATTTTGCATACAATAAATTAATTTTAATTGCTGGCAATCATATTTCAAACAAGTCATGAGAAAAGATACTCAGATTTTAAATTAGACTTTGTTTAAAGTTTCTTAGAGTTTTTTTTAGTAAATAGCCTATTAAAATAGAGCTTATCCTACTCTTTAGGCTACATTATAATTGTCATTTCATTTTTATCTTAATTGATTCTATTTTTATTTTTATGCTTTTCAACATTCATTAGACTATATACTGCTAATTTAATAAAGACAAGTGAGAAAGGCAATTTAAATAACAATATTTAAAATTGGGTGTAATAATTTAACGAACTTTTGCACTGGATATTCGTTGCTTATCCAGTTATTTACTTATAAATTGCTGTATTATCATTTAGTACATTATCATGTAATTCATTAAGTTTAATACCTTATAAAGAATGTGAAATTATACCTTTACTTTAAGTTTTCTCTCTAATTTAACTTTTAATTTCTTTTTTTAATGGATAAATTTTGATATACACAATGAGAAATCATAGATTTAATGAAATTAATTGTCTAAAAAGAAGATATTCTAGTTTATTATTATTCAATAATACAATAGTACTGGCTATAATATTTTTTCATTATAATTACGAATTTGTAATAAATTATTTGATAATAGTTTAATCTATCAGATGCTATTAAATATGTATTAGCTAATCTATTTACAATTAATCAAATAATTGATTAATTAAATAATTATCCTTACAGAGATCCAGTTAGATTACCTGCAATAACAATGACATTTATATAATTTTGGATTGTTGTAGTTTTAACAATATATAGATTTTCAGCAAAAATTGAAGAAAATTAATTATTCTTTCTAATGGCACTCCCAATACCATTAGTATATATGATTGGATAAGGGTTAGCAACTCAATTTTATTTTTATGGAATCATAAATTCTAATTCAAATACATAAATAAAAGAGAAACATTTAATTATTACTGCTGATTATTTTTATAAATTATATCTCGATTACAATAAAGTATATATATAAAAATTATATTAGAGTTAAGTATGTTAGATTTAATTTCAATAATTTATTAAGATCCATAGATGTTATTGCAAAAATAAAAAATGTTATTCTTAAGATTTGAAATATAGATAGGCAGATTTGGATTAAAAAAAAGATCTTCATTAATTATCTTTAAGTATCATTAAATGCATTTTTAAAACAGCTTAATAATGGTTATTTTCATTGTAATATATTATGATTAATTGAATTAGAGCTAATTAAAATTAAGATTTATAGTTTGAATAACTATAACTATAATATATCAGTTTTGTCTCTGATATAGCATAAAAACCATTGCTTGGATATTTAGAATTAAGAAAATAATAAAATAGTAAAAATAATAATAATTCTATATATTTTATTGAAATAACAAATAAATTAGCAGATCAACTTCAAATTTAAATTTTAGATAATCAACAAAGATAAACATCTAAGGATGTACTTATCTAAGAATAAAAAAGTTAATTAATAGAGATTTCATTATAATAATAATGGTGGACATAAAATTTATATGAAAATTTATTGAATGATTATATTTGTCTACTTGATTTAAAGGTTGAACATTGGAATAATCTTATGATTGGATATTAAAGTCTGAATCCATTTTAATAGAATACATAATAATTATGTAGCAAAATTAAATAAGTAAATTATTGTGAATTAATTATTAGTTGAAAACTTTATTGGATAAATATATTGGAGTGCCTGAAGAATGGTTTGATTTAAAAGTCACAACAAGTAAAGGTCATTAGGTTAAAAAGTTAAGTCATGCTCTATTAAATATAAATTCTATTACACTTAAACTATATTCCTTATTCTATTCAATTATGATGAATGATTATGATAGAGTAAATTTATTAATAAATTTCTTAGTCTTTCTATATAGAATAGTATGTAAAAGATCTTACTTCAAATGATAGATAAAAAGAAATAGATATCATTGATAATTTTTCTTTATTGAATGATAGAACTACAATTATTCTAGTTAGTCTTGTTAAAAATAAAGGAAAAATAGTTAATAAGAATTAATTAGCTTTGGCTAATTATTTTTAATATATTGATAGTAATAATTTTAAAGATAGTGTTCCAAATATTCATAAATTATTACCTAAATCTATTATGCCAGCACATGAATTATTAATAGATTAATATATGTAAAGAGGATATAGTTAATTTTTTGTTAAAAAGATTAGTGGTTATTATGAAAATGCTAAAGGATTTATTTAAAAATCATATATTAAATTGGGGAATTTATTTGAAGAATTAGATGATTATGTAATAACTGCATCAATGTTAAAATGTAATTTATCTAATTAAACTATTTTATTTGATATTGAGGGGAAAATAATTGGAATAAGTGAAAAATTGTATGATATTACAAAGAAAATAAATCCATAAATTTAAATTGACTTTTTTAAAGAGTTTTGTAGAATATTTTTAATATATCCATCAATTTTAACAACATTAAAATAAATGGAATAATAAAATAAATAAAAATTAGATGAATTTATATTGGATAATGAAGATACATTATTATATATTCCTTTCAATTTGATTGAATTAAATTCATTATATATAAAAGAATAATATGATAAATTTGGATAAAAAGTTGATTTTGGTTTGGAAAGTGAGAATTTAAGTTCTTGGAGATCTTGGAAAAGTTTGACAAAAAGTTTATATTCATAAGAAAATAATCAAGACAAAAATCATCTATATAAAATAACTGATTTAGAGAATATTGATTTTTCATTATAATTTATGTAGATTCATAAAGAAATGTTTGAGTAATTTACAATTCTAAAAACTAAAGTAAGACTACTTTATTAATAATTAAAAGTTAAATCATATTAATACAATTATTTTATTTTAGAATTAGATCACATTACTGAAATAAATTCTGAAAATAAATATTTTAATAAATATCCAAGTATTAATAAAATTATAGAATTTTAACTTAATGCAGGTTAAACTGTAGCATATAATAAAACTTATCCTGATAGTCATATTGATAGTTTAGATAGATCATTTAACAATTAAAATTTAAATTAATAACTTTATGATTAAAAATATATCAAAGAATTGAGAAAAAAATAAAATTTAGAGAATCAGAATGATAAATCTAAATATGGAAAGTATAATGAAATTAAATCTAAAGAATATGAAGATAAAATAAATGATGAATTCAATAATTTATCTTTAACTATACAAAGAGATAAAGGTCCATAATTATGGTAGATACCTCTTTAAAAAATAGATTAAGATGATGAATTTGAATTTTAAATGATAGATGGCCATTTTAAAGTATTTGATTATTTAAATTTAGTAATTTGAATAAGATTAAGAAATACAATAATATTAATAATAATAATCAAGTATTCTACGTAATTTTGGTAAAGATAAAGAAGAATCTTAAATAGATATAGATGATAATTAAGGAAAGAATTCTTCAAATCATGATAATGAGGTTGTAAAAGCAGATTTAATGGAGATTTTATAAATTAATAGATAATTAAAATAAAAGAATAAGTACTTTGTATATAATATATTATAGTGAATATGAAGAAGAGGAAAATAAATAAAAAAGATCTATAAGTTCATCACGTACTAGTTCATCTAAATCTCCCTCTATGTTAATTAGATAACTTTATTCAATAAATACTTTTTAAGGGAATATTAAATTAATAGTATTTAGTATACTATTGATAGCTCTTCTATTTATAAGTTTAATTTTTGTAAAAATGCAAATAGTTTAATGTATTATTTTATATAAAATTAGAAAATTATAATGTACTTTAAACTAATATTAATTATGTAACTTTTCCAGAATCCTTAAATTTTTACTTTGTTAAAACTACTTATATTTCATGGATATTATTAACATAAGAATTGAATTTAGTGACTTACAGTGAATTTATTTAGACTTAAATTGAATAAGAACTCAATTCTATGAAAGATATTATAGATATTAAATTAAATGAGCTTTATTAAGGAATTATATAATATGAAAATTAAATAATAACAAGTGATTTAAAACTCATTAATATAAATGAATATGAAGCATAGACTTAATAATTAGATCTCACATAACTTATTTAATTAATACAAATTCATACATTCAATTTTATTGATCAATTTAAAAGTATTACCAGCTATAAGGATGTTTTATTTTTTCGTCTAAATATGCCATTTATATACCAATTTGCTTTTAAATATATCACTTTGTTAAATGAAAATCTTGTATATTATGAAGATAAAATTATTAATGATGTTATTTAAATTACAATGATCATTTTAGGTTTTATTACTGCTATAATTTTATATATAACATTTTAAATTTCAAATGTTACCTTATATGAGAAATAAATATTAATGCTAATATCAAGAGTTTCATACAAAGCTGCAGAAGAAGCTATTGATAAATTATTAGATATCAGGTCTGTTCTTTCTGAACCAACTTAATTGGTTTGGAAGAAAATTAATTTTTTTGATCTTAATTATGAAAGTAAAGAAAATAATAATGATTAAAATAAAATGATTGTGGCTAAGAGTTTAAAAACAACTTCAGCAACAAGATCAAATTATTAAAATACAAAATCTAAATCAAAATCTAAAAGAAATTACTAAAGCAATTCACTTGCTTAAAGAATATATGATTTAAGTTTGATTAATAAAATGAACTATATTTATTTGATAGTTGTATGGTTGATATTTTGCCTTTTTGTAATTGGTTCAATTCTTGTAACTGTAAATTAAATTTCTGATATCAAACCAACACTCAATTTAAATTTATAATTAATTCGATTTAAATTTAGATTTGATTCATTAATTGTTTATAGTGAAGTTATTAAAACTGAAAAAATAATAGAAACATATTTACAAAATTAATATAAAGATTTAGATATGTAAATAGATGTAATAATTGATTTATTCAATTAATAATATAATGGATTTTAAGAAAGTATGAAATAAATTTATGATTCTCTTATTGGAAATTCAGGATTAATGTAAACATAAAAAACAGAATTACTCATGTATTTTGAATAAAGTCTATGTAATTTCATGAGTCCAGAAATTCCTTTCTGTAATATCTAAATATCAAGTGATTTTAATTTTACTGTTCCTAAAAGTTTCATAGATCAATATGGTTAGCCTATAGCAGAAGACAATAATTACGAATATGTTTCTGGAGGAATAATTAATATGGTTTAAGAATTCAGTAAAACCTTATAGATGTACTATTATACTGAATTAGTTAATAAAATGTTGAGTAACGATAGTGCTTTTGAAATTAGTCAATATTTAAGATCTAAAGTACATATAACTTAATAGGTGGAATATTTTTTAGATACTGGAAAATTATTAAGCACTGTTGGATATAATTTATATGAATAAAATTAATCAAAGTTAAATTAGGCAACCACTCTTACTTAAATATATGTCTATCTAACTGGATTCAGTGTATTTCTAATATTTATTATAATGTCATATAAATGGATGAAATAAATAACAACAAGGCTTTAATTAATGAGATTGAGTTTAACTCTTATACCATATGATATTTTATTAGAGCCAAAGACTATAAGTTCACTCAAATAATTGTGACATAATTAATATCAGCTACAAAATCTATTAACATCTTATTTTAATATTTATATTTAATATCTAAACGAATATATATATTTTTCAACCAATTGTTATTCCTTTCCCTGTAAACGCAGAATTATTTACAACTGTGGGCTATTAATTCCTTTCATTTTATTGTAAAGGTCTCCCTTAATGTTAATTAATCCATACTTTCAGGTTCTTCTATTGTATAGTCTTTCTCAATTTCCAAAGCCATGAATTCTTTATAGGCCAAAAAGACAATATATTAAGCAATTATATAGAATAATAGTGTTGTCAAATGTAAAATGCCTAGAATCTTTTCTCTTCCACTTTCTCCTAATAAGGGTTTATCATTCTAAAAACGAGTAGCAAAATATAGTCCTTTTAATAAAATCTTGAGTAATTATTATGAATACATGATATAAAGTTATAACTATATAGACAAGGCATTAACAACTTCCTAAAGAAGACCAGGCTGACCATAATAAAATTATGAAAATTATTTCAAACAATTCTCCTAACTCAAATTAGGCCACTTATCTTGCAAATAACAAAGCCAATTAAATAAAAGCAATCAATTACAACTGAAAAACTGATCTCTTTCCTTAAAAAGTATTAGGTTTTTTATTATCAAATGGTAAACACATATGAATATTATTAATAATATATTTATGTAAAATAAATTCAATTTCCTATTCTATTAGCATTAACTCCAAATAATGCATATGATTATAAGTCATTTTAATTGGCACCACCATTATATTGTGGCATACCTTATTCTCCATTCTAGTCATCTTAAAGTAAATCCTATATTAAAAATAAACAAAAATACATTATCTTTTTCTTTTCTCATTTAAAAATATGTTTTTTTCATCTCTTATAAATCACCCTTCATTCTATCAATTTCAAATTTCAACATATCAACCTTTTATTTATTTATAATATTACATAATCTTGACTTTGCTTTAATTAACTTAAAGTTGTCTTCATTTTTGCAGCATTTTCTTTTAAAGATTCCTTATATTAAGCAAGTTATTAATGTATTTCTACTCCTGGTTATCTAGATAATATATTTTTCAATTCCATAAACAATTTTTCTTTTTCTTTAATTAAATTTTCTTTTTCATTTACTTCTTCAGTTTTAGCAATTAATCTTCTTTATAAAGTCTAAATTTTTAGAATTCTTTCAAAATTTTCTTAATCTGTAGCTTCAAGTTTTCTCCATCTATGTACATTCATTGGATTTTCCAATTCATCTGATAAGGCTTTGACTTTATTTTTTTCATTTAACAATTCCTTTTCGATATTATTAATCTCTTTTCTTAGTTCATCAATACATGCAGTTTGATCTTATGTAGACTTAATTTAAAATAAAATTTTACCTTTAATTCATTTCTTAAATTAGTTAATTCATCTTTTAAGCTTTTTAATTCAATTTCTCTCTCTCTAAAATTAATTTCACCTTTGCTTAAACTTGACTAATTTAATTTAATCTTCTCATAAAGAACTTATAGTTCTTAATTTCTTTTTATTAATTAAGTTCCTAATATATCTCTTTCATTAACCACCATTTCATAGTCTTTTTACTATCTTTATTTTTCTGTTTAAGCTCCTTATATAATATTTTTTAATCTTGAAATATGACTTTCTTAATTTTTAATTAAATCTTCATCAGCTTTAATGTTTTTTTCAACTTTAGCTTTATCTTATTCAATTTTTGCATTTTCTTCTTCTACTTTATGAAATTCAAGGTCCTCTTTTACTAATTATTAATCTTTTGTTTTAATTTCTTCTTTTAATTAATCAACTTAATGCTTCATTCTAGTATATTTTTTTGTTAATTCTTAAATTTCATTATGACTCTCTAATAAATTCTTAGAATAAAGATTTCTATCACTTCTGACAGTTTCATATAATTATTATTAATGTTTCAATCTAGCTTCAGCTTCAGCAATTTATTTCTATTATTCAGCTATTTAATTATTTTTTATCTTAACTTCCTCAACTGTTTAATAAAATTTAGCATGAGCTTGGGATGCCTCAATACCATACTTTTCTTATTCTCTTTATAATTATAAGATCATTTTATTAATTCTTTCATTACTTGCTTCATATCCCATAACTTAGTTTTCTACTTTTTTTAATTTATTAACTTTATTAACAATCTCTTCATCAGTTTAATGTTAAACATCTTCTTGTTTCTTTAATGTTTTTTATTATTATGTTCTTGATTTGATTCTTTGACTATTTTATTCATTTATTTTATCTAAAATATCCTTCTTTTATTATAATTCAATCTTTTCAGTTTCAATTAACATATCTTTTGTATTTTTTTCAATGAGTTATTCTTCTTTTTCTTTTATGGTTTTATTTTTTTCTTTAGCTGTTATTTCTTATTCCTTATGAGTTTTTTTCACATCCTTTTTTTCTTTTTAAATTTCAATTTGTAACTTTTCTAATTATTCCTATTATATTTTAATTTATTCTTTATAACTCTTTAATTATTCCTCTTAATTTTCTCTATCTTTTAAAGCAGCAGCAAATTTATCTTCAGCTTCTTTTTATTTTGTATGTTAACTTTCTTTTTCTTTTATTTTAATTAATATAGTATTATTTGTAGAAACTATTTATTTTTTAATATCATGTATTCTGGATTGTTTTTCTTCAATTTCCTTTTTTGCTAAGTCAATTTTTTATTTAATATCAGCCATTTTAACTTCTTTTTTCTTTTTTCTCTTTTCTTATTCTTTTGAATCAGCATCAATTTTAGCAATTTTATCCTCTAAATCACTAATTTTTTAAATTTAATCTTAATATTATTTTTCTTCATTATCTAGATCATGTTTTAAATTTTTATTTTGTTATTCTAAATATTCAAATTTTGATTTAGCACTCTAAAAATCTAAAATTTTATTTATTATATATACTCTTCTTAATTTCATCAATTAATCTTTTTTTATCATTTAATTATATCTAACTTTATTCTTCAATATCCTCAACTACTCTATCACATTATTTTTTTAACTAATTAATTATATAATTATTGTACATTTTCAACTTCAATTTTTGCTTAAACTATTCTTTCTTTAAGTTCCTTCTCTTTTATTTTAAGATCTTCTATTTTTCTCCATTTCTCTTCTAATTCTTTTTAAAAAGTTTCTGATTATTGATTATCATCATTAATCATTTTTAATGACATCTAAACTTTGGATGTATAGATAACTATTTCACTATTATGTTCTTTGCATCTAAAATATTTCTCTCAAAATACTTTTTAGTCCATCTAACTTCATTTTCATAACTTTCTTTAAGAGAATTATAAAGAGTTTCATATTTTATCTTAAATAATTCTAAATCAGGGTCCCCACTAAAATCTCTCACAACATCTTGAAAATGCTTTTCAATTTATTGTATAAATTGTGGATCTGTAGAATATTGATCTATTTCTTTATTTAAAGCTGCTAAACTTAATCCTTCTTCTGGAGCTCTTGCCATTTTAATTATATAAATAATAAAATATTATAAATAATAGGTTTCATTTCCTAATTTGAAATAATATAATTATTATTATAATACTTAAACCAATCAATACAATTCATAATACTTGATTTTTTAATTTCTCATTTTAAATTTTGAAGATCAAACTTGATAACTCTTTAGTTAGGAAATTATCAGCATCAAATAATTTAAAACAGTTTTCAGCCTAATATATAAGAATAAATAAAAATACATCAATAAATTCTGTTATTCCTGATAAATCATATACCATATTACTTTACAAAACTCCATCTAAAATTATTACAGCATCATTAGCGGTATATTTACTTTTTGGACAATCAAAAATAGATTCATCTCCAAATTCTAATATATAATTTCTAAAAAAAGGAATCAAACTTTATATTTAACCTGAATTAAACATATCTACTTGTCTCCATAATTAAGGTTTCATAATAGCTAATCCTTAAATAATTAATTTCATTTCTAATAAATTAAATGCATTTGTCTCTATAAATATTTCCAATATCTTAAGGATATGTTAATAAAACGAATTCTTAATTAATCCTAAATTATAAAAATAAAGACCCTTTATTGGATGTTTTATTTTCCCAAACCAATCAACTATTAAATCTTCAGCTTCACTTAATGTCATTGTTGCAATTCCAATTTAATTCAACCATATATAGTTTTATACTAATAAGAGTTTTAATTAACTTATTTGATTTTTATTTATTTTTGTTTTATCTTTAGATTAATTTGAATATCCTGTTAATGCTTTTTCTGCTGCTTAACATGAGAAAAGTATAAATATTTTTTGATTTGAATTTTCATCTAATTTATAAAGGTTTAATTAAAATGTAACTAGATTATTTTGATAATCAAATTCATCAAATTCTTATTAAGTAATTTCTCTAAGTAAAATTTTTGCATTTCTTTTTTTTTTAATTGATTTTTTAATTTCTTTTAATTCCTAAATTCTATCCTTTTTTACTTCCTGAATTTGTGATAATGTATCAGAAATTAAATTCTCTATTCCTATTCTATGCAAAAAATGGGAGAGGACATTCCAGAATTAGATTTTATGTTTTTAATTTTATAATTTCAATTGAAATTGAAGTAATAGGCATATAGAGGGCATCTAAAATTTGCTTTTGGATAAAATATCTAAATGATTTATAATGCATTCTATCACAAAAAAATCATCAATTACATTATCAAATAGAGCATCTTCAATTGACTCTTTGATAATAATAATTTTAGGTTAGCATATCTATTTGATAATATTTTTTTCTGATTAAAAACATAACTAAAATCTTAATAGTTAATATTACAAAATGATGTTTATATCCATTTTTATTCTCCTTTATATAAAAACCTTGTTATAGATCAAGTTAATGTAAATAAGACAATAATAATATTGAATAATCGTATGCCTTTTCCATATCTATCATAGATATATAATATCGACACAAGAAATGACAATGAAAAGCCCAAGTTAAACATCCTTCAATAAATTTATATTCTGCTACTCTATAATAATATTTATTAATACATTTTTAATTAGATTAAGATTTCTTCATCTCCACATTCTGCTTTTATTGAACAATAGGCAGTTTTCAAAATTTATTATAAAGGTAAAGTCAACTTAACAAAACTAACATTTATGAAATCTTCTAAAATTGATTATGAAAATTTAATGTTAAAATAATAAGGTAAATTAAAAAGAAAATATCTTGCATTTAAAGTTTCATCATCAAAATATTCTATATAGTCATTTCTATGGTAAAGTCTATTATATGGACTTTTAATCAACTATTAACTTTTTTATTTTATATCAGCCTCTACAATTTATAAATCTTTTGTAAAACCTTCATGTGTATCATTTAAAATAATAGCATTATTATCTATTAATTTTTTAGTAAAAGAAATCATTAAATTAGCCATATCTATTTCTTCAAATTCATAATAAATTTAGATTAAACCCAAAATAAATATAGAATTTTTAAAATTTTCATTTATATATTGCTCAAAACTATTATAAATATCCATTAGCTTCTTTTTCTATAGTAACATTATTCTAGTTTAAGTCAAAAAATATTAATGATAACTAAAATAATCAGATTAAAGGTTAATTAACATATTATCTATT